AAGCTCCACTCCTGGAGCCATGCTCTGAGCTCCCCAAGCATTAATCCACTGCTAGTCAATATACTGCTGTGCATCTTTTATTAGAAATATGAACACTGCCTCTTATGTTTGGTAGAAGACAGAGAATTGAGCCAGCCAGCAGGGTCTTCTAAGCAACTCTGCCTTAGTTGGTGGTTCTTCTTTCTGCCTCAGTTTACAGCCCATGGCATCACCAGGAGAGCTCTCCTGCAGCAAAGCCCCACACAAGCACCGGGAAGGTCTGCATAAAAGACTGAATCTACTACGTGCAGAACACCAAAGCTGCAAAAATAATCTGCTACTGTGGGAAGAGGGATCAGAATAAACACAGACCTGGATATGTTCCCCAGGCACATCCAGCTAAATGAAGACTACAGAAACCCAAGTAAATAAGGGGAGTAAAATAAAATAAACACACTACACCCCCTTTCCCTTCCCTTTTAAAGTCTTCCTCCTACTTCAAAGCAATCCTCAGACTTTAGAGCTGTATGTGGGTACAGAAAGCATACCCATACTATCCCTACAGACCCCCTCTGGGGGAACTGCTTAACCTTGCATGTGTTTGAAGAGCAGTGTCTGCCTGGTAGTGCCTAAACAGAGGCAACATCACCTTCTATATCCCACAGTGTCTTGTGGTTAAGTAAACTTTTCATCAGCCCACTGCCCTTGTATTATGCAGCACTCCAGACTTCAGAGCTTGGGAAGAAAAAAAAAAGAAAAGCCCTCTTTCTTCCAGATTTGTGCTAAACCAACAAAGCCTCGAGCAAGAAACAAGCAGTCAAAACAAAATCAAAAGAGCGTGAGACCGCTGTCTGGGGTATATGGTGGTATGGAATAGCTGGTGCAAAACCAGTGAACAGCAAACAGAGCAGCTGCTGCGGAGGGCAAAATGCAGAAGTGCCAAACAGCCCTTTTAGAAGAAGCCACGTGGAAGAACTTTGCAGAGAATAGCTGGTGCAGCAACAGTCACGAGAGGTACAGGAAGGAAGGACTACAGGTTGTTATGTGTTGTGCAGAACAGCTTGTGCAGAAGACAGTACAGCAAGCAGAGGTTAGCTGTGCACTGATTTTGTGTGATCACTGAAGCTCCTCAGTAACACAGATTTCTGCTGCCTTTCCAAGCCTTTTCAGATGCCCACAGGCCAGAACTCCTGAAGCTGCAGCAGGTGTGACTGCTGGACCACAAGAGAGCTCTGTGTTGCTTTTACATACAAGCAAGCCCCAAAACTCATGCACTTCTCTTGTCATGTCCAACCCTTAACAGAATTAAAGGAACCCCTATAAGGGAAGGAATTTCTTTGTTTTAACTAACTTGCTTGTAAATAGAAAGTGTCTCTTTTTCCAGTAACATCAGATTTTTTAAACTGATATCAGAGGTACAATCGTGGTAGAGCACTTGTGCAGTAGGGGAACAGATAGCCACAAATAGTTAGCCATAGGAGCAGCTACAGGGTGTTTGGTGAATATGACAAGTGTCACAGTGACTACAGCCTAAAGGCTCACTCTTCATTACTGGTCCCTCTTGGGGATTGCCACTTGTGTTTTAGGATGTTACCCATTCCAAGCTGCTGGTAGGGTACAGATATAAATATAGGGTGCCATCCCTGCAGAAAGGGGCCTTCAAGTACCTGGCATCTGTACAGCTATCTGGCCCAGTGTCATGCCCATCTAATTACATTAAACAAACTAACAACAGCCATACCTTCTTTTCTTTTAAAACCGTATTTTCTAAGAATATAATTATTTTCTGGTTATTCTGTGCTGTTTCCCTTTCTTGCTTTCTACTTCACCCATACATTGTCTTCCTAACAGCCACCATCTCTGTTTATGAATGGTTTTTCATAATGGAGCACCTCCCATATGAAGGTAGATATGCTGAGAAAGTTCGGGCTGTTCAGTCTGGAGAAGAGAAGGCTGCGTGGAGACCTCAGAGCAGCCTTCCAGTATCTGAAGGGGGCCTATAGGGATGCTGGGGAGACACTCTTCACTAGGGACTGTAGTGATAGGGCAAGGGGTAACAGGTTAAAACTTAAACAGGGGAAGTTCAGATTGGGTATAAGGAAGAAGTTCTTTACTATAAGGGTGGTGAGGCACTGGAAAGGGTTGGCCAGGGAAGTTGTGAATGCTCCATCCCTGGTGGTGTTCAAGGCCAGGTTGGACAGAGCCTTGGGTGACACGGTTTATTGTGAGGTGTTCCTGCCCATGGCAGGGGGGTTGGAACTTGATGATCTTAAGGTCCTTTGCAACCCTAACTATTCTATGATTCTATGGTTTTATTATGCATGATGTTAGCTCATTCCCATTTTCTACTAAATGTTGAGCCTGGAAAGTTGTCTTTAACTTGCTTAGCCCCACAACAGGCACCAGTGAGCAGGGTAGGTGAGAGGGAGCTCCCCTGCAGTGGTTAGTTTGCTGGCCAGTGTGTGCAGCACCCACTGCAGCAAACCTTGTTGGACTGCAGCACAGAAGCACCCTGCAATGCCCATGTCTTTCATATTGTTATTGGCGATCTCTCTCTTTCGTTATTTTACTGACTGGGCCCTGCAGAAATAACAAAGTGGCTTTAGAAATCTTCACGGTAACAAAAAAGGGGTCGGAGTAATGAATATCACAGAATCACAGAACGTTTTGGGTTGGAAGGAACCTTGAAGATCATCCAGTTCCAACCCCTCTGCCACAGAACCTTCCACTAGACCAGGTTGCTCATAGCCCTATCCAACCTTGAATACTTCCAGGGACAGGGCATCCACAGCTTCTTGGGGCAACATATTCCAGCATCTCACCACCCACATAGTAAAGAACTTCTTCCTAATACCTACCTTCTGTCCAGTTTAAAGCTTTCCCCCTTGTCCAGTCACTACAAGTTCTTGTAAAAAGTTCCTCTCCAGCTTGTAGTTTCCCTTTAGAAACTAGAAGACTGCTCTAAGGACTCCCCAAAGCCTTCTCTTCTCTAGGCTGAAGAACCCAAACTCTCTCATTCTGTCTTCATAGGAGAGGTGCTGTGGAGCTCTGAGCATCTTTATGGCCTCCTCTGCACTCCTCATTGCAGTCTGAACATCAACAGCTTTCATCTTGCTGACCTAACCTTGACTTGGAAAAGCTGTAGCTATCAGTTCAGTTTCTTTGAGATCAAAATCACACTTCTGTTCCTTCTTTTTTGCCCCCCTGGGAGAGACACAGCCAGTAACCACTTATAATAGGTAGGTCAACTGAATGTTTTGTTTTAAAGTGATACCTACTGACATCTTATTTTCTCTTTGCCCAGAAACAGAGATAGCAAGGTTGTGTTACAGACTGAATGTTAACTGCTGGCGTCAGTAGATGTTGACTCTATCTGAAGACACAGCAATTAACCTCTGCAGCTCCGGCTGATGTCAGGGAGATGAGTAGCAATTAATAAAGTCATATTTCAGCAGCTAAGGGTCACACAAGAGATGAATTGACACAGATGCTCCTGTGGCCAAAGGAAATGACAATGCTCTCTTTCTGAAAGAATCCCATTTGACCTTTATTCCCTCAGAGTGAAATCTCCTTCAATGCAATGGCACTTGCAGACTGTTTTATGTGAGCTCCACAGACTTTCAGACAAAGCTGAGGAACTGTTGGTAAAATGCAAGCTCTTGATGAGTAAGGAGACAGCCTTTCTCCCTTCCACACAGTGTCATGATTACAAGGCCAAGGCACTTGGCCAGTGCCAACAGCACAGTATTGTTTCAGTTTAAATAATGCTTTTACAGACTATTCAGTATTGTTGCAATAGAGGTTATTATGCGTTTTGCCTCAAAATCATTACCGTGTTATCTGGAAGCCAAAAAGCTTTGCTTACAATGAGAGAAGCTGATCACTCTGTGGGTCTTAACAATTTGTTGCTCAAAAAATCTGAAAAAATTAGCAAAAAACTCTTGGAAATATTTTGTATAATATTAATCAATGGACACACTCCTCACAAGCTGTACATATAGTCTTAACTTGGTACACACATATGGACAGGCTTAATTTTAGCTGTGACAGTTTCCTGTATGCCACAGCCAGCTATCCTAAGATCAGAACATGCTTATGCTTTTTGCAAGCCTGGGTGCTAAGGTATCTTAACTGAAAAGAGTTGGAATACTCAACAGGTACAACTACATTCTGTTGGAGGGGTGAAAACAGCTCTTCTTTTTCTGACAGCATGGGCATCATGCCATTATTACAGGCAGAAATGCGATGGAAAGAAACAGTATTCACTTTTAGGAGAAGTATACCTCATTCACCTTACAACTGAATAGTTGCAGTGACAGCCAGCCAGCAAGTAAAGAACAGATTGCTTTTTTCCATGTCTGGTATGGTACAAACTCAAAGATGCAAGGTTTGTCACAAACACAACAGCTGGTATAGACAGAAAGTCTAGATGTGAAGACAATCTGAAAGGAAGGTCCCACCTGCCCCAAAGATATTCTGATGAAAAAAGGAGCCAACCGAAGACATGTCTAGCAAGTACAAGTTGCTGTAGAAGATGGTCCAGATGAAGGTACTTCTTTCTTTGGGAATGGTAGCAATATTCGCTAAAGAAGACAATTGTGCTGTTTAGGCTACCTGGGAGATCCAGATTTAGCTTTTAGCAATTACTGTCCCTAGTTTCTTACATAGAAGTCTCACATGCTCTAACTGTAATTTAGGCTTAATAGTGCTTCCTTTCTGCTTCTTGTCACGTACAGGCAGAATTGAAGACAACAGGATTTCAACTAGATACTCTCTAAATGACATCAAAGCATCATCCCTGAATATGAAAAAAAACAGTGTAAATAAATTACTTGTGTGAAAGCATTTCTAAACACAGCCTAAATAAAGCCAGAATAATTATGCCATAGGGCTGCAAAGAGTTTTTGTAACATCAGGGTCCAATTTTCCATGTGAAAATTTTCTCCTGGGAGAGTCTATTCCAGTCTGACAGAGGAGGGAGGGAAGACATACTTGCTTAAAAAGAGGTTTACAACAACACATCATTAGTGTAAACTTTATTCTCCTTACAGTAGAAACATACAAAGTACAAGCCAAAAGTAGTATAACAATTTTACAGCAAAGCTTACCAGTAAGATGCAAAACTAATTTGTATCAAATTCTTAAAAAAACTGTGCACTTTCTCAAACTTAACTTTGTTCGGCACATCGATTTGATTTATGTATAATAAGGCATTAATTCTATAAGAATCATTTACTATATTCCAAAATTGCATGACCTAGGTGTAACACTCTATAGCCTGATACCATTTTTGTTCCTTTCAGATATTTACAGATTTAATCTACCTGCATTAACACGTAGCATAGAAGCACTAAGAACAAATACAAGCTTTGCCAATACTAGGTTCACATTGAAAAAGTGACATAAAGAAAAAAGCTCAACTGTGCATTGCAATAACTTGGTTCTGCTGCAGCCATGACTAGTTTAGGAATAGTTTCCCCTTTCGACATTCTTCCTCACTTCCCGTTGTATTTTGGTCTTTCAAAAGACATGGAGAACTGCTCGGAACCTGCAGGAATCGGAAGTGGACCCCATTGCTATCAGCTACCCAAAATTTATTTTCCTCCCCAGAACACAGTTCTTAAATTTCACTTGAGTTAAATCTATAAATGGCACAATTGAATTCATTCTAGCTACTATGTACAGAAATGGCTCAGGCAATTAAGTTAGTCCACCTTGTCATTAGTCAACAGGAAGTATTATTACTGTAGCTGTAAAGGAGGTATCTAGTGTTCCAGAATAAGTGAGTTTAATTATGGTGAGAGCTTCCTCAATTCTATTTACATAACAACTTCAGGCTCAATGTTAAATAGCAAGTCATCATTGCCTCTTCGAACTTCAAGTAGTAGAGGTGATTCATTCATCACAGCTTCTTGCAGGTCACTGGAAGTCATCAAAGGACGCCCATTGACTTTAACAATTATATCTCCATCTTGAATCCCTCCTCTGCACAGACAAGAAGAAAAAGGCAGTAAATATACATTCTACGCAGAGAAAAACTATTCACCACCTCTTTGGCTGATGTGATGAATTTTTACTTATTTTAGTTTTTGTTGAAGGGGACTTTCACCCTTCTGACTGCAAAAGAATAACTTCTAAATGCAAAATCAGGCTTCTGTTAGTTCACTGAGCATTTTCTTCTAAAACAGCAAAAACAAGTAGTCTAGCTTTCTCCGTCTTCCACAAAACTGCAGCAAAAGGAGAAACAGAAGAAACCTTCAGCCACTATTCCTACAATAATTTTTGGAAGTGCTTTTTCACACTTTTGTAGATGTGAGTAGGATCTCAGTACAAATATTTTAATTTTATTTTTTTTTAACCTAAAGCATGATTTTTAATTGTTTAAATAAAAATCAAGACTGATATGAGAAAGTACTTGAATAAAAACAGAAGTATTACCTACCAGTATCTATTTGGAGATTTATTTACTGTGAAGAAAACAATGTGCTTTACATACCTATGAGAAGGCGAGTTTGGAACAACTTCATGTACATAAATTCCACTTCTGACATCAGGAAAGTCAGCATTATTGTGTTTCAGTTCTTCCACCAAGCTAGCAGAAAAACAAATTTATATAGCATTTGATTCCACTACAGAACCAGCAGCATTCAAAAACATTTATTTATTTACCTTTTTTTTTTTGTGTGACCAAAACTAAATGACTTAACAGTTAATTGTTTGCCCTTGTTCTTTTGATGAGAATGCAAAAAAAAAAAACTACTTACCTGTGCCAAGCATGCTATATTTAATGGTCTCATACATCTTCAAGAATCTGACTTTTAACTATTTGCAGCAGCAGAACAGGGCCACTGTAGAAGAGCACAGGATAGCAGCACTCGCTGTCCTAGGTACTGTGCAGGGTCAAAAGACATTCCTGCCCCGAAGAACTAATGCTGGTGATGGGGCAGAATTTTGCCAACTATTTCACTTCTTTTATTTCACAAGTCATTCTTAATTTGTCTTTATCTAGAACAATATAGTTTTTTATAACTTCAGTCATCAGATAGACCAGAACTATCTGTGGAAGTTTTTCAAGGAAACTTCAGCTTCCTCAAGTTTTCTTGAGGAACTGTGAATCCTTTCCTAAAGAAAGAAGACAGGAACCAGCTGCAAAATAAAGACCCTAAAAACATCCCCTCTTTACTGAGGAGATGACATCATTTTAAGTGTGTGCTCAGTGTCGGTTAAAAACCACTTCTAGAAAGAAAGGGCTTTAAACTAATGATGGATGACTTGGCTGTCCATCATGAAAACCTGGGGTCCCCCAGATGGAAACCAAGCCCAAATGACTGTGCATAGCTTCACTTCACTTGGTTTTGTACTGAGGAAGCTAACAATTCAATGACTAAAGTAAACCCATCAAGGAAAGTAGTCTTTTCGTGAAATCAGGCCTGGATATATCTTACATTGATTCTTTAGGTATTGCAAAAGCAGTCAATTTTCACATCATGTTCACTTCACAGTTATGCACAGAAACATTCTGAGTGTCTCTCAGTGGTGGCTAGGTGATGCTAATGCCACTACCCTGATCCGTTCCAGCTGAGGATCTCACCCTTTGAGGAAGATTGCAAGAGTGTAACTCAATAAACAAAGACGGCTTTGCTACAACCCCGGCTGGAAATGGTTTAATTTTGTAGTCTACTGCCACATTGGAAATGTGCCTACTGCTGAGAAACAGCATAGATATAATAATGAAAGGTGTAAGATGTTACCCCAGAATGTATTTGGGTAACAGAAAGACACAAAGAGAAAAGACAGTAAAGAACTAGAGGAAGGTGTCCACATTCTGGCTTCATTAAAATGGAGGCACAAAGCTTTAGTTCTACATTTTAGCAACTACTCTCTCTTCAGTTAATGGTTAGGCATTAAATCTCACATTATACAGCCTCCACTGGCACTGATAAAACTACACGAAACCCTCAAGCAGCTAATCTGTCATTGGCACTCACAGTCACCTGAAAGCAGCAGCTTGTTTAAATGTCACCTAAAACTTAGTATGACTCCAGATGTGCTCATCAAGAACCAAAATCCTCCTTCCTAATTTCCCTAAGCTATCAACAGAGCATCCACCATTATCAGTATCCAGGAGTCAGAACATGTATTCCACCACTCATTAAAATGTTTGCAGACTTCATAGAAGCTAATGCACACTTCTGGATTCACTGGAGATTTGTAATGAAAAATGAATGAAGTTCTGACCAACTACTGACCACATCTTGTGTGCATGATTACACAGATTACTTTCTATAGTACTTACGCAGGTGTTATTGTCAGCATTCTGATGCCAATGAAACGTTTCTTCCCATCTGAAAATAAGAGGGTATTTATGAAACTTAGGCAAACACTGACAAAAATAACTACTTTGATAACCCAAAATACCTGTCAATTAAAACAGGATGTATCAGCTCTTAACAAAATTAAACAGAAATCATATACATCTTCACTGGGGTAATTTTTTATTTTGGTTAGCCTTGGTGTACAGAATGACAATCCCTCTCCCTGCAACGGAGAGTAAGAGAGAGGAGGTGTCCTTCAGGAAATTCAGGAAAATTTCTGTGATCTAGTATCACATGACTTCAGTAAATGAAAAATTCTTAATGGATTACCATTTCATCTGGAAATGGTCAAGACAATTTAATCATATGTTGTTCTCATTAAAATGTAGAAATGGGATTTCAAAAAATTAACATTTACACTCTTCAGAGAAACGATAACCAAAAGACTCACACTGATTCTGATGCAAATGGCTTGTTATTTCTACCCCAAAGAATGAAAAAGCAAGTTTAGGAAACCAAAAAAAACAAATAACCCCAAGTAAACCTAAACATAGACCTTAGTCAAAATGATCAGAGGGCTGGAGCACTTCTCCGATGGAGAAAGGCTGAGAGAGTTGGAGTTGTTCAGCCTGGAGTAGAGAAGGCTCTAGAGAGACCTTATTGCAGACTTTCAATACTTAAAGAGGGCTCTCAGCAAAGGTGGGGACAAGCTTTCAGTAGGGCTATTGCACTAGGAGAAGAAATAATGGTTTTAAACTTAAAGGGGAGATTCAGACTATATTTAAGACAAAAATTTTTTACAATGAGGGTGGTGAAACACTGGCACATGTTGCCCAGAGAGGTGGTAGATGCCACAACCCTGGAAACATTTGAGGTCAGATTGGAAGTATAGTGGAAGATGTCCCTGCTCATTGCAGGGGGGCTGGATTAGATGACCTTTAAGAGATCCTTTCCAACACAAACTACTCTATGATTAGCCAGAGCTATAGGATTTTAAATGGTGAAAAGTCACTCATTTAGGGACAGCACCACATGGCTGTAGTAGCTTTTAATGGTCATGCACAGACATGCACTGCACAGCTGTCATTTGAAAAATGCAGTCTGATGACTTCCTGAAGTGAGTGCTTCAGTAGTTAGCTATATCCAGTCTGAAACATTATTTTCCCTTACTTGTTCCTGTGTAACTACTTCACAATTTCTTAGAGCTTCTCCATGCTCTCACGTGAGGAAAAAGCTTGAAAAGAAGATATACATGGTCTCCTCTAACTCTTGTTTTTTTCCAAGAAAAATAGTCCCAAGTAAAGGAATTAGACCTGAATCTTACGCATGTCCACTACTACCATTAGCGTCAGTGGAAATGTGGACGACTAAACATTGGATTTACTACACTACAAACAATCTGACAACTGTAACTGTCAGCCCTGCTTTTCCTTGCAATGTTCTGAATGTCCTCTATTTTAATGTGAAACTAATGAGATCAGAATCAGCTATAGTAAGAGTGTCATGAAAAAGTCCATTTGCTCGAACTGAAGCCTCAAAAGCTTTGGCATGGCACTCACAGTGCTTCTCTACATGGCATAAATGGAAGTTTTCACTTTTTAAAAATACCCAAACATGATTCTCCCACCTGAAAATACACCCCCCTGGCAATGTAGACAGATAAAATTGTGAAGCTGTCTTCAAGAGCCACAGAGATGACAGACTGGTGACAGTTTACTGTTTCCATTAAACGGTTTGCTGCTGGTCATCGCCTGTGTGATGCACAAATATGGAGAAGCACAAAGCATGCCCTGGGGGCTGAGTTATGAATCTTTACATGAAAGAAAAATGACAATGAAAGAAAGGACAAAAGAACCTCATCTGGAAGTAACAAAACAACAAGGAGGAGACTGGGCAAGAGTGAAAAACCACAGAAATGCCATTGGTTAAGAGGGAATTATTTCCCCAGTGGCCAATGATTCATATAAAAATAAGGCTTTTGGGGAAAAAATCTGGTAACCACAAACTTATTCACAACTAAAGGTCTCATTCTACCTTCAGCTTTGGGCAGGTTAGGGTATTATTTCACTCTAGTTCATGCATTAAAATTCAAAATAGTCTTCAGCCCTCTCTCCACAGTAAGTTTGCCACACTGGAAATAGTGGTTCATACTGTAAAAATGGCAGGCTATTTATAAAGTCAAGCTACTAATTACGAGTTGTGGATAATTTTAACAGCAGGGCCTAGATTCCTTTCCTTCCCACCCTCTAGCCATTTCTCACGTCAGAATATACAGGCAAAAAACCTTCAGGCCTCTTGTTTAGCAAAAGGCCATTTTATTCTATTTAACTGAGTCAAACATCTTGCACAAACCCCAAACTTTTCATCAACAATGATTAGAGGTAAATAAAGTTGGCCAGTTTATTACCAGTTGTAGTCTTTTTATCACCCCCTAAGGATAGGCCTTTTGAAGCTAGGGTTAAGTCACATTGGCAGAACAGTATGTGGCACCTGGAACTATCACTGTCATGTTACATGTGATGTGTGAATAAAAGAAGTCTCAAAACCTGTCATTCTGGCAATTTGTACAATCACAATGCAGAAGATAAAATTATTAGGAGAAGTGGAATAAAAATGAGGTTATAAACCTAAGAAACATGTCACCAGGGTGAAGTCCCAGTAGTAAAGATTAATATGTTGGAACAACCAGGTTGAACAAATATGAAACTTTTCGCTTAAAGCTGGAGCACAGTGCAGCAGAGAGATACTCAAATCACACTTCATTTTTAAACACCATGCCAAATTAAACACTGATTCCAGTGGTACAAAGACAAGCAAACCAGCCTCAACCACTAGTTTAAACTTGAATCTGTTTTGTGTTCATAGAAAGTCACAAGCAGCTGATCCTGAGTCTCTAGAAGCAGTTCACTATTTAAAGAGATTACTGTTCCACAGCAAGGAAAACATATGCGTTACTGTTAAACTTTTCTCTTTTTTACTGAAACTTGTAACAGTAGAGATGCTAACCAGAGACATAAACACAGGCTGAAGGCAAAGTGTTTATGACTTTTATAATGTGGCAAAAAGAATTGTTAAGTCCAAATTAAGGGGTCAGGTACTCAAGACTCTTACGGGCATGAATAACTGGCACATGAATATCCCCATCACAGCTGATTTCAGTGGGGCCATGATATTACCAAGGTCTCCAAGTGAAGAAGAGAACCCTGCACTTTTTATTCAAGCAGCAGGCAAAACTCCTACTTCTCTGATCACTCCTTTTGCACTTAGATCATACTGCAAATTAAATGAGCAGTCCTGAAAGCATTTAAGAAAGATATTCCACTGCCAACAGAAACAATGAAAACAGCTCAAGTATACAATGCTATATTATGTGCAGTGTATCTTCCATATAAACTACATAGCTGAATTTAATCAGTAGTCTGAATCTATACCCAGCAAGCCTCCTAAGCAGCCCTCATGACTATTGGCACTAATTATCAGTAATAATCACACGAATACATAGGTAAGCATATAGTTTCAACACAATAAATAAAGCATTCTGGGGATGCAAATATGGATTCATATAAATGACTTGTTGGATGTGGCCAATGCAGAACTCCCCCATTTCTCCCTGCCCGTCTGAAACTAGGTCTATTCACTTTTTTGTTAGCACTATGTGAGGGGCCAGGCTGACTTCTTAGGTTTGATTTTCTCTTTAATATTTTGTCAAATCACTAAATTACTGTCTTTCATTCTAGAGGATCCATATTTCAACACTTTCTAGTTTCACTTTTATGCTCAAGTCTAAACTAGGAATAGATGGCAGAGCAAAGACTAAAACCGAGGAATTCCTATGGGATACTAACAAAGGCACAGAAGTAAAAATCAGTCAAGGCTTAAGTGTATAGATGACTTTCAGAGGTAATGACAGAACACACGGATTGTAAAACTTGAGATATAGATGGAAACACTTAACTTGATGCACCCGTTCAGTAATTCCTAACTCTAAAAGGAGGTTAACATCATTACTGGTAAATCCAAAATTAGCAAAGGCTTTCAAGCCACTCAGCAGAAAAGTATGTCTATGCAGAGTGTGGTAAATCTTTGGTCAAAACTATATTAGGTATGATAATGTATTACCCAGGCACTAGGTAATATAGAATCTTAATGATAATCAAGGCAAATTCTTTACTCAAACGACATCCGCTCCTTCCTTTTTCCTCCTCTCTGCTCCTGTACTACAGCAGATCATACATTTGCAGTTACATATAATGGACAGGACTTCTACATGAAACTGATGGTTATCTGATCAACTGAGATTTAAAAGACCAACATCAAGCTTATTAAACAATGTTGACAGTATCTCCTATATGCCAGAGTATCTGGAAAGAGCCATTTCCTAAGGGAACTTTATCATCTTCAGGCAATATGACACTTGGAGCAAAGTGGTAATACCCTTGAACTTATTTCCATGACCTAATTGTATCATAAGGGCGGATCCCACTGAAATTACTGGAACATAATTGGAGCAAAAGAAAACACGATAAAAACATCCCAAGATGCTTACATAAATTCTTTATGTTAATAAATAATGCCTATACACCAAAACTGAGGACTATTACTAAAGGCCTAAAAAATGCAAACAAAGTCTCAAATATGGTGAAAGTATCTCCTAGAAACTCTCCTTGTCTTTGCATCAAGGGCTTCTTTCATCAACACCTCCTCCAGCCCCAATCAACACATGAAAAACTATCTAATTTGGGGAATTCAGTAAAACACAGATGAGGGGACCCCTCGGAATTGTGAGGGTCTCAAATATACAAGCGGATGTGTAACTTTAAAACCTCAGACTAAGGGAAGTTTCTGAAATAACAGTATCTGAGAGAACACGGAGAGGACAATGGTGCTGGCATCAGCAACTGGATGAACTCAGGAAAAGACAAGATTAATACCAGAAAGATTCAAGAGAAGCAGCCGCCAGCAGCCATGATAAAAGACGGGTAGGGTGTGGACAGATAAACTGGCAAGCAAAAGAGAAAGAAAAGGTTTGATCTGGCTGAAGCATTACTAGATCAGCTTTGGCTGTGCAGCATCTAGGATGACACCCAGTACAGTGTGACAGATGCAAGGCAAGCATATAAAAAAGTCCAGAGTACTGCAGCTGTCAGCTTATTTAAATTCATATGCTCTTTGGTACAGAGGCCTTTCTTTTTTTCTGCCTTTCCCTCATCCTCCCAGCACATTTCTTCAGGAATCGGCACACAGCTCTTCTTCCACTGGGGTCTGAGTGTCTATCACAATATCCAGTTATATAGTAATGACATAGATGACCATAGCAAAATAAAGATCATCCACTGATGATGTGCACACACTACACTCCATCTGTAGAAAACTGTTTTAAAATTTCTTACTTTGTTCTCTACAGTACACCTTAATCTCCTTTTCGCTTGGACAATATGTGAAACAGGAGGATAAGACTCCTTGAGCAGGTCACCACATGTTTTCAAGATCATTTGAGACTGTAATGACTCATCTGTGTACTCACTATCCTCAGAAGTCCTTTTTCCCAGATCTATACAGATACTGTCTACTTTCTGGGGGGTTGAATAATAAAATGTCTTCTGTGAAGTTGTTTTCTATTTCCAAGTCTATGGTGTTCTACACTGTAAAATGACACTGCTCCTTTCAGTAATAGGATCCTAGAGCTGTGTCTTTTGGCACTCTAATGATAGGTCAGGACAATAATTGCAAGATGTCACTGTTTCTTGCAGACCTTACCTTTACTTTGTTTGTCATGTGACTCTGTGAGAAACTGAGTGATACGGTCTGAAGGAATAGCAAAAGAAATCCCAGCTGTGACCTTCAGGGTGTTAATCCCGATCACTTCACCATCCTGTTGAGAGACAGTACCCTATTAATTCAGTCCCAAGTGACAGGGTTCATCTCACTGCCTAGCATTTCCTGTTAAAAGCTGGTGTAAGAAATTTTAGAGTGTTGTAATCACTCAAGAAATAAACATTAGTTGTAAGGGAGGATCTGGGCTCTGATTCACAATCCCTTTCACATTTCACTGTGCTAGCCAGAGAGATTAGAGTACAGTTTGTTCATCCAAGGTCCATCCCACCACTCGGCAAGAGATTCCCTACACTGAGCAGGCAGTGGAGCCACTGTAACCACTACAGCCATAATTCTCTAACCTGCAAAATCACTCCTGGTTTAAAGCACTCTATTTTAAAATTAGTTGTGCAGATTGACCAGGTCCCTTCTTTGCTGTGCATCCCAGGTTCCATGGGGAGAACAAGTATGACTGTTCCTACCATATCCCCTTTTTTTTACTGCTGTGTAAAATTTCCTCTGCTCTATAGGAACATGTTTTCCAACGGCGTATGAACCTGATCTGCATAGTTTGTATTGGCTTCAGGGTATCTGCCTACCATTAGCTTGAATGAATGAAAGCTGCTATGACCTGTGAATCTTTTCAGTATTCTCCCGCTTACTTCAAACTAGCTCTTGACACAAAACATTAAAACCAAGTCACCTGGACTTACCAGATTAACCAGAGGTCCTCCAGAGTTGCCGTACTGCAAAAATGATATAAGGGAACAATAAATTGGTGCTTCATTGCAGGAAATACAATTTTCATTTCAAGCAGTATCTTTTTTTATATAAGTAAATTAAAAGATGTATAATGTAAAAAGCAGGTTATTTCCTAGGCAGCACAGAAGAACACAATACCGACCACAGAATACACACAGGTCTTACCCTACCCATTCACATCTCTTATGATTAGATTTTTTTTTCTTTTCAGATACAGGCCTTAAGTTAGTAGCAGCAACTTACCACTTCAATAGTCAGACCCTAAGTTTAAGGAGAAACATTAACAGTTAAAACAAGCGTTTATATTCTTCTAAAGGCCACCAGAATAAGGCACAGTTCTTAAGTAGTTTTACTGCTCACTTTGGTTTATAATGTAAAGTCTCTAATTCTCCACTGAAGAGAACACAGTGCTTTACATATTTAATCACGGCATATTGCTATGAGAGAGATACTATGTAAGGATTGATTTAGTAACCATAGGCATGCAGCCCTCTCTAGGGAGGGCATATAGCAGCTCTGAGCAGCTCAAATTTGCTTAATACCTAATGGCCTTCAACAGACACATCCAACAGGACTATAGGAAATGAGCTGGAGAAGTTGCTTGTCTCAAATTTATTTCTGAGTTTTCAAGTAGGTCTACTGAACAGCCAAGAGCAGCAACTTAGCACTCAAAAGAAACAAAAGCTAGTGATGCATGACAGCAACATGAGCCATATAAACTGTTTATACTTTGATAGCACTGGGCAAACCTTATAAATCCTCAGAAGAATAAAGCAGACATTAAAGTTTTTAAAACAGCTTCAAAGTTTGAGTTTAAACAGAGATCAGTTTCTTAAATTGCACCTTTTCAGTGATCAAGGCTAGACAATTTTTATGTCTGACTGATACACAGGAACCAAGCTAAAGATTTTTCAGCCTTCCTTAACATATTCTTTCCTTCACTTGTCCTCTGCTTGCAGGATGTGATAATGAAAGAACTTTTGTCATGTGCAATGTATCTCCATTTAGGAGCTATGGCTCTCTTTTCTCCTGCCCCATGTTGCTGCTGTCCCAGCATTTCTCAGAAGGCAGCTGCATACACATTCCTGCAGGAAAGTCTTGGCTGAGCCACAGGAATGCTCTGAATAGACCAGCTCTCAAACTCCTCCCATTCTCAGGAGAAAACTAGTGCATTAGCGAAGCACAAAGCATCTCTATGCCAGGGACTATCTTCATATCTTGTGGTCTCAGATGGCAAAGCAATTCAAATATATTGTCATTTACCTTACCTCCTCTGCTGTCACTATTTACACACACTCTGCTCTCCTTGTCTGAACTTGCTCATTAGCTTTTGAGGGCAGTGAATGCCTAAGTACATACAAGCAAGAAGTCTGATCTTGAGGAATGTGTATAGGCGTGAGGTCAAGAATCCCATGTTCTAATTCTGTCTCTGTCACTAATTTGGTGTATGCTCCTAAGTAACTCATTCTGAAAAAGTTTTCCTATTCTCCTTATACAACTGGAGAGAAATTTCAATTAAATATGTGAAGAGGTTCAGATCCTGGATCATATAAAAGCTTTTTGGAGAAGCTCACTTTCATGTTGTATCTTAGCACCCTCTTTCTCCACACAACTTCTCAACAAGTCTGTGCCAATAAAACATTTGTGAAGCACTTCACATGTGTAAAACACTAAGTGTTATGACTGGCTACATCAAATTTGACATAGATGTCCAGCAAATAAATCCTGAAAATATTTTCTTTTCAATGTGTAACAGATTTAAGCCATAAAATTTCAGGTCATTTTCTACCTCAGATATGCATGCAGTGCTGTTTTTAGAATCAGTACAAGTTATATGCACACCCAAGGACTTAAGCTCTCTGGATCCCTCCAAGCTGCTCTGAAGAGACATTATTGTCATGTATTTCTATATAAAATACAATGCTAGGACCCTCAAGTCCAAACTGTATCTCAAACTTTGTGTTATTTTACATACAGATTCTTACTTGGAATATGTGATGTGCAAAGGGAAAACAAGAACAACAGAAACACAGTCCTCTCCTGAAGTTCTTACCTGGGTCTCATGTTATTAAACTGAAGCAGATACTATCAGACTACTCCATCTGATTCTAATGCATGGAGATGAAAGAAACTTTGGCTCTACTCTACAGCTTCCTTGGCCAGATTAGTTGAACAAACAGAGAGAAATGTGTTGATTTACATCTGGTCTATAAATCATGTGTTACTGCAGGAGATCTAGAGAATGAGAAGGGTCTGTTATGTGTAACATCTTCACAGACAACCTCAAAGAGGGTAGTTTTATTTATCAGACATTTCACAACACTAACGCCTGAATGCAATTTACAGACACTCTTTTATATACAGAAGACCCTATTACTAATTTTAAATGAAGCTGCTTTTATTTAGTGGATTCATCTCTCAGAGCGCACACTTCCCTGCTGAAGGTGGGGGCTTCAACATCCTAGGACTGTGAAACTCAGTTCCTTACATACCTAGTACTTACATTGATAATAGCATCTGTCTGAATATAATCCATGTCTGAATCCCGCAGGCCGAGTTCTTTGCCATCTCTCTGAGCAGTGCTGACAATACCTGTTGTCACAGTGTTCTGTAAGGCAAATGGACTTCCAATTGCCACCACAAATTCTCCTGGCCTCAGATCAGCAGAGTGTCCCAGTAACAATACTGGTAGTTTTTTCTTAAATAAAAACAGAAAAAAAGAAATAAGTATTAGTTTATACATGAAAATAATCTGATTGGAAAAATCAAAAACTAGCAAAAAGTTAGGTATATCTGTTACATTGATAAAAGACACACTCACTATCGTATACCCAAAACTTATGCCAGGTAAAATTCTGTCTTCAGAAACAAACTGCTAGCAACAGTACCTTGCAATTTCATCCAGAAATAAAAGGCCAGCAAGATTCTGAAACAGATTTCCCTGTTTTCCAGCAGATTGTTCCCTCCTCCTCCTCGAAACATACAAACTAGCTGACCACACTCTGTACACTACATACCGCCTTGCAGGTTAAGTACTGGCACAAAGCTAGAAGGATTAGTCAGAATAGCCTGGATTATCAGGTAATGATAGCAGAATCTGAGCACATATTAACTGGACTGCATTTTTTAACCTTAACTTTTAGCAGTTCCTAGCACAGAAGACAATGTCATTTCATTCTAAGATAGGAAACATTTCAAGGCCTGTATTTATCAGTATATTGTTTTCCCCAGATATATTTCCAAAGAACCCCTAAGCATATACTCCAGCCAATCATTCTGTACTAAATGAAACCAAAATAGGGTTCCCAAATTCATTCATTCATCTATTTATGCCACTCACCTTAGGGTGAATCTTTATTGTTGCAATGTCAGATTTCTTGTCAATATCTCTGATGGTTGCTTCATAGGTATCTCCATTCTGCAACTGCACTTTCAGTTGTTGTCTCCCTGATACAGCATTGGTGCTTGACACCACATGTGCATTGGTCACAATTAAACCAGAATCGGACATAATAAACCCAGATCCGCTGGAAAGCGGGACATTTCGCCCAAAAAGAGGGTGCCTGTACAAAAAGCAAGTAATTATAACTCATAAGGGAAGCATAACTTAACAGCAGATAACATTAGGTACCATTTTCATTCATTAGGTACCATTTCATTCATTAGGTACCATTCATAACAGCAGATAACATTAGGTACCACATTTCACCCTGAGAAATAACAAAGCATTTGATGACAGAGGGCTCTTTGCTGAAAATTGTGACTGCTTTTAGTCAGCCGGGGGATAAGAAACAAGATTTTCAGACAGATGGCAGAGTCTTTTTCCGTTGTTTTCCCATTCTACCTTCATGCATTTCCTTGCAAAGAGACAAGATGACAAAAAAGGAAGGAGGAGGAGCCATCTGATCCCACCAGCTGCTGCTTCTATATGGGAAGAAAATAATGACAGGAAATAGTAGGGCTGACAAATGGATCAATATTCTAATGGGAAAAAGGGAAGAAGGAAGCTTGCAGATGGACAAAGGAGTAAAGGAAGAGGTGTTGTCTCCTGGAATCATGAAGCCAAAGTGTAGACTGGCAGGAAAATCATGTCTGGAAGGACTGGGAATGTGAAAGAAATGAAGCACACTAACAATGGGTAAAACTTGGTGGGAAACATTATCTGATGCAATAGAGATAGTTAAAAGGCTTTATAAACTGTTTAAAGCATGATGACTTTTCTGTGAACAACTTCTGCAATGACCTTAGATTTGTTAGAGGAACAGAAAGTGCCTGGGCAGTAGATGATGAGAAAAGGTCCACAAATTCTTCTTTCTTCTGAGATATGGTCCTTATTAGGAAATTGTTTGAAAGTTCTGGACTATACAGCAGTAAAGAATTGGAGCCAATTCCGGGCAGAAGGCAGTACCACAATTGGCACCCAGCAGGCTGCTGAACAAACATTACTTATAGGGAAAGAATAAACAATCTCAACTACATTTCCAACGATCTTAACATCTTCAACTATAGCATTCTCTTAAAAAAAAACCCAGTCACTATGTGCATAAAGCTCTGTTTTAGAAAACCTGATTATTTCCATTTTGCATGTTAAAAAAAGCCTGTAAATATTCTCCAAATTCTTAAACCTATATAAAATTAGAGTACTCTAAGCAGAAAAGTATTCAAGTAATGGAATACAAATAATATTTGACATAATTTCTTCTGACAGCAGGTTGGTTTGAGCACTCAGTGTTAAACCTGCCTCCCAGGTTGTTTTGAGTACTCCATGTTAAACTTGCTGACTCAGCTCCAGCTTCAGTGCACTTTCTACTGGTATGTTTTGGTCAGCAAATTTACTACGTTTTTTTCCTATCAGAAATCATTTTTGTGTTTAGACAGGTTACACCAGGTCAGCATAATACCTCTTAATGTTCTCCTGCCAAAATAAAATCACCTCTTATTGAAAGCAGAATAAGCATCAAGGACTTATGTTTTGCCACCCTACTTTCAGGATTTGTTTTCCTTAAACTGAGATAATAAACATAATCCAAGAAGCAGCCCATTTTAGTGAAGGCTGATCTTCAAAGATGACATGGACTTATTTTAGGGCATACAGTATGTACTGGAAATACTGTAAGCCAGATAAAATATATCTATTAAACAGGAACAAAACACACAAAATTCATGGTTCTCTGGAAAAATGAGTCTGCTGTAATGTTTCAGAGTATTTTGTGAACTTCAAGAATTCAAAATGAAAGTTACTACTTGTAGACCTTTGTTAGGCAATGTAAGTAAAACACAACGAATTGAAAAGTGTTACCTGAGGAAAAGTTCAATGTGCACAACTGCAGGTGCAATCTTTTCCACCACATCTGCTATGAAGTTGAATTTGTATCTTGGGCTGCTGGACTGTAGGTGACCTATACTAGCAGAAAGAATTGGATATGTTAATAAGACAATACCCTTTTTTACCAAGTAGGTGAGATAAATACGCTTTGAATTGGTCTGTTTCTCCTACTGGGACAGTTTTCAAACAGGTATTGGAAAAGGAATCAAAGTAACTAAGATTGTTCAAAATTTATCCAGCATTTTGCTTAATCCTGATAAAATTAAACATCAGCATCACTTGGCTGTAAGTTGTTTGACCTCCTTGGAAGTCTAAAATCCTTGTCTGAAGTATTTTTCTCAGGACAACTACTAATTGTTATCTAAACCGCATAGGGTCATAGGATAAGCAAGGTTGGAAGGGACCTCAGGAGGTCTCTAGTCCAACCTCCTGCTCAAAGCTGGATCTGCTACTAAGGCAGAGCAGGAAACTCAAAAGGGTCTGTCTAGTTGGGACTTGCAAAACTCCAAGGATGGACAGTCCAGAAACTCTCTGGGCAACCTGTCCCACTGTTTCACTGTCCTCAATAAAGTAAAACCTTTTCTTCTATCTAGCCTGAACCTCTCTTGTTGAAACTCATATTTCAACTAACGCCCATGGTGCCTTCTCCACTACACCTCACTGTAAGGAGCCTGGCTGCATCCTCCTGATAGCTTTGTCACAAGCACAGGAAGGCCACTGCTAGGTCCTCCTGACGCTTTCTTTTCTCCAGGATGAACAAGCTCAGTTCCCTCAACTTTTTCTCATTGGAGATACACCCATCCCTATCTCCCCCCCCCCCCCCCCCAACCCACCCTTGTGACCTTCTGAACTCAATTCAGGTTTTCAGTGCCTTTGTTGTATTGAGGGTTCCAAAACTGGGTGTAGCATTCTAGATGTGGTCTAACAAGTGCCATGTAATACAACCACAGCATTTGGAACTGCTTTTAGAGCCCAAGTTTGTAAACTTTTTTATGTACATCAGAAACCTTCTGTAAACGAAACCTAAAAAGCTTTTAAAATTCCCATTTAAGCTGTCGCAGGCAGCTAGGCATAGCAATAAACTACTAAATATTAAGTGTTCTGATGAAAGCCAGTGCAGTTACACAGCATTTATGAATACTGAATATAATTCTGTGGAATGAAGATCTTACAGAGAGGAAAAAAGCTCACAGCAACTTGGCTTCTAATGTCACAACATCCTGGATTCTAACATCACAATATCTCAAAGTAATAGTACTTCTTGTGCTAGAATATCATACTTTCTGCAATCCCTAATACACGAGGACATATCACTGCATATGTTAAACACATGTTAGGGGACGTATCACCACACTCAAACAGCAATCTTTCACATTCACAGCCTGATGCTTTAAAATTAACTATGGGATCTAGGGAAGGGAGTAAACAAGTTGCAATCGGATATAGCAATAATATTTTTGGCTTTTTTCAAAAATGGTGCAACAGCACACTTTAGCACAGGATTTAAAATTTTTTTTCTGCCATTTCATCAGGAGGCAGAACCTCTAAGTTCTAATTTCTAAATAATATCAGCTTGTCGGAAGTGAAGCTTTGTGCTATCATGATCTGCTCTAAGTTCAACTCACGCTAAAGGATGAATTTACTTCACAGTAGGTCTTGCACACCAAGTCAACACCTGCTCTTAAGGGTTCCAGATTTGCCTATTACTAGATCACATAACATAGTAATGAGTCATCAGCTGCCCTTTATACAAGTTTTTAAAAGGAAATTAGGTAGGAGACATCACACAAAAAGGAAACATACACAGAAAAATAGAAGTTTAAGAGCCTTGTTATGAATTTTATATTCTGTGTAATTAATTCAAAGATCTTTTTCACTGATCCTTATCTACAGGTGTTTTACTGACCATTAAACCTTGTCACTAGTAAATTAATAGGGACAAATATAAAGATTAGAGCATAATGGTGTCTAACCTATTTATGAAAAATATGTTTCTGACATAATCTTTGAGTGAATTTGTAAGATAGTGGTTGACAGAGAACTAGTTATTACAGTTCTTGTAGTCTCTCATAAAGGTTTCACAATAAAGTGTTAGAGGACCTGCAAAGTCAGAAAGTGAGAGGTATTACATCACCACAGTATCCAAAACACCTGAAGCAAAGACAGGAATGGACCCAGCACTGGTACCAAGGAAGAAAGTATTGAAGAAACCAGATCAAGATAGTTAGGCATTTTTCCATAGAAGTCCGTGAGTTCCTTTTCTTGTTACTGGACATGGGATTTACAAGCTTACATTAGCAAGCTAAATTTATATGATACCATATAAACAGAAGGAACAACTTGGCAGGACCAGATTCCATCTATTATTTTTATATACATTCTCACACTCTAGAAAAATCTAACCAATTGATTATGTTCAATTCAGTGCTTGGTTTAAAAGACACACCACAAACAAGCACCACAGAGGGAAGTCAAATAAGCATAGTATACTATTATTTATTTTCCTTACTGGGCCACTGAAGATTTATTTCACCTTCAGGTCTCAAGCAGCTTGCCTGACACTGCAGGATATCCTTTGAAGTCTACTAACATGACTTGGAATACTTGCACACACAGCAGTGTTCACTGGCGGGATGTAACATTATCATCACATTTATCTTAACAGATATGACCATGGATCTATGCGTACATTGGCTAGACCCTCAGCTGATGGACTAGCACAGAACTGGGTGGGGAAAGCATGGTGAATGCAGGATTTCAGTTGGTGTAAATCAGCATAGCCCTATGTGAGTCAGGGCAATTAAATCCCTTTGCATCTGCCGAGTGCTGAACTGCTCTGTCCATGCCACCGCATTGCACAGGGCCAAAAGAGGAGAACGTCTGCCAAAAAACTCACCAGTCCTGACTAGCCATCATGTAAACATCATGGGTGGCAGTGGCTTTCTAGGTAAGATTTGGAGCAGACAGAGAGAAAAATGTCTGGAAGAAGTGGTGAATTAATCCAAACTTGGAAAGAGCTTACGAAAATAAAACACAGCAATACCGAAAGGAGACTGTATAACCAAAGCAAAGCTTGTCTTCCTTCTATGCCATATTGAAGGCGTTTCTTAGTGCAAGCTGAAGTCCAGAACCTCCTTGTAGGGGTCAGAAGATGCAAATACTCAAACTTGAAGGTGAATCCAAATCTGCACTATATAGTAAAATGAAATCTGAAGCAAAGGAGGATCAGGAATAACAGACATGCAGACTTTGTAAGAAGGATGTAGCTGAAGATGTACTGGTCTGATTAGAGATGAGCTGGTTTTATTATTGTCTGGTGGTGACTAAATACTGATGAACACTGACTTACAAAGTTAAGATGCCTTCATAGAAACTGCTCTCTCTTGAAGCACTTTCTGCACGCTGGGAGTGAAGAGAACCTTTAAACATACATGATATGCCAGGAACTCAAACTATGGACTTGATGTAATGGTAAACTAACATTTACTCTCTCACACAGAATGTTAGGGGTAGAAAAGACCCTAAGATCATCTAGTTCCAATCCCCTGCCATGGACAGAGATGCCTCACACTAGACCATGCTGCCCAAAGCCCTGTCCAGCCTGGCCTTGAACGCTGTCAGGCATAGAACATTCACTACTTCTTTGGGCAACCTGTTCCAGTGCCTCATGACCCTCACAGTAAATAATTTCTTCTTCATATCTAACCTGAACTTGCCCTGTTTAAGTTTGAGCCCATTATCCCTTGTCCTATTGCTATAGTCCCTGATGAAGAGTCCCTCTCCAGCATCCTTGTAGGCCCCCTTCTATACTGGAAGGCTGCTGTGAGTTCTCCATGAAGCTTCTCCTCTCCAGGCTGAACAGCCCTATTTAAGGGAACTGAAATGTTGCTTATTATTTGCACATTTTAGTGCATATTTATTAATCTTGTTTTCATCAGAAGTTCCCAATATGCTTTAAAAGGAAGACACTGCAGCCTGAAAAACTGAAGAAGGAAGGGGCATCCAACACTGGCAAGTTGTACAAGATCACCCTGAAAACAAGTGTTGCAATTGTAGTAAAAATCGGTGCTTTTTGTCAGACCTTCAATCTATGCTTTAATTTGGTTTAGTCGGTACACACTATCTGCTGCTACTATTGCTACCAAAACATAAAATTGAACATGTGTCTTTCCCCGACACTCTTGCTGTCTTGCAGTTTCACGTAGCTCTGTAGCTCTCAGACCTCTGCTGGAGTGTGAATGTAAAAGCTGTTTACAGCAGCTTTGTGCATTTTGACCTACTAACTGTCTGAGATTTGCCATGTATTTTTTCAAAGGTCTCTCAATAACATGGATTACTTTCCATGTTATTACTGCATGTTCAAAATCATCTCACACTAACCAAAGCTTATTTATCTTGGCAAAAAGCCATAATTTAATCCAACTATCTGTTGTGTAAACAAGGTATCAAAGGTGTTGCAACCAGGTTGTACTTGAAATAAAAACAAATTTATAGTGTATGAGTCTTTAGCTGTCTACACAATTTTTTAATCAAAAGAACTAAATTTTCCCAATTTGCTCCATAGCCAGAAATCAACCAGATTTTCAGCAGCTCTGAACTCTTATCCTATCATTTCAATTAAGTGATTAGATCTCCAGAAGCTCTCCAGCTCCTCTCACAGAACACTCAAAATCCAAATTTGGATGTAAGTGCATAAACTGGAGTTAAAGATGTTCAGCCTATTTCATAAAATAAGATCTTACATTTCCAGTTCTATGGGCTCCAACTACATTGGACTTACACGGCTAAAGCTAAGTAAGTGCCTATCAGGTAGGAGCATCTTTATTATCAATTTAAGACTCTTCCTGAATAGTAGTGTTACCTACAGGCTATGAGTTCATTTAACAGCACTTGGTTTACTTTCTTGAAGAGACAATAGACTCACCCCAATCTCATTAACACTACTGTAAACCAGAAACAACTCCAACAGACTTGTAGAATTAACCTAGTATGAAGACAACTGCAAAAAAAATCAGTAGAAACAACTGTCATAATTCCACAGAAGACAATAAAGCTAGACTGATTTGTATTTGCAGAAGACTGAATGTTTCTTAATATTTGCCAACCTACTCCCTGGAGAATTAAATCAAATCACATTCAGTGCTTTCTTAAGGACAATACATCATATTAAAATCCACAATTTTATATTCATTAAGAATTCGTGAGCCTGGGAAACTCATTCTTTTAAGGCTGATCCCCCATTCCCCTTTTAACCCAAGCTTCAGAAAAGATCTGTGTGTTCAGCAAAATTATTATGTCTAAGGGAGGACTGCAACCTGGCAGATCTGATCACCAGGGATAAACACTGTCCCTACTGTGCTTTCATGGAAAGAAATGAAAGACAAATAAAAGATTATAATATCTCTGCTTAAAAAACAGAAACATCTGTTGGAAACATAGGTTCATGGGCAGCTTTTCTGATGAATTCAGCATTAAGATCAAGTTGCATAGCTGTGCACTGACCATAAAGCCTCGGTGAGTTTAGTGCCACATTATGGTTTGGGCAACTTGTTTATACAATGGATATCTACCCTGCACAGATTAAAACAATTTGGTTAACCAACACCAAAGTGGTTTTCTTGTGCAGTACAGCAATCACAATGACCAGAGACAGATTAACACAAGCCTTCCAGACACCTCGCCGCCTCACTGACTTCAGATGCTTCTTAATTCTTCCTTCCCAAGGATTCTCATAAGGATATGCAACAAGAACATCTTTCCTGTTAGTGATCCTGTACAACACAGTGAAGAGCTACTCTCTGAATTATACATCAAACACTGTACAACATTCATCCTCACCTGCAGGAGCTCAAAACAAACTCAGGCATGAAGAAAACAATCAGTAAAGGAATGTGATTGGAGTTTGTGGATTTAGTCAATACCTTGCATTTCATTTCCCTGAAAACAGCTGGAGGCAGCTGTAAGGTTTTGATGACAGTTATACAGTATAAGCCTTCAGCATCTCTTACTGGCTCAAATTCTTAGATATGCAAGTAATAATATCCTAAGTTTTTTCTTTGTATCTTCAAGGTTAGGTACAGGAACACTTCAAACACCCCACACAGAAATGTGTGCAAAGACTCTGCTCATGCATTAACTATATTTCAAACATTTATTTTAGAGAACTGTCTTGCAAGTATTTGACTGACACGGGTGAAGCTTTACAGCATGACCGTTTTCTGCAAGTGCCTTCAGTTAAACAGTACAGAGGGGACACATCCTCAGGCAGAAGCCTGCAAAGGATTATAAACAATGTGCTTGTTTCCTGGGACTTCTTTCCTCAAAGGTTTTCTAATCCATCTTTTAATTTTCCTTGTTGCACTGACAAATAGCACCCTTAATTTCAAAAACAGAAAGGTCTTTTTGCTTCCACATCCTTGGTGAGAAAATACAAATCTTTCAAGATCTGAACTGTCTTCACAGAAACCTTTAGCAAAACATTGAAGAGAATTATTAACTGTACCAAGAAAAGTTGTACTTAGAGATCATAAACAGCCCTTTGTGCAAGAAAGAGTCTGACATAAATTGGCTATAGACTGCAGGTGACTGTCTTAATATGTTGAGTGAGGACACTTTAACAGATCTCTGTGTGGCACTGCTATATTTGCTGCAGTGAGAAACAGAGCTCTGAAAGAACTGGTCTTTGATGACAGAGGCTGTCTTGCATAAATGTTTATTCTGTTAGATACACGCTAGCCTTTAATAGCTTGTCCTTCTCACAGCAGGTGACAGAAGGCAGGAAAAGGCCAGCTGCTTCAAAAAATTACCATATATTAAGGTATCTAGTGTTGAAGAGGAAAGAAAAATAGTATTTGTAGCATATAGTTTGAATGTGCCTAAGAGTTCTGCAGGCTATTCTATTAGAATCTCAGAGGTCCATGGTTTTGTTCAGGTGCATAAAGCTAACTATATGAGTAACAGCTTTCAGGGCATATGCATACTGAGGGACATAAATGCCAGAGTTCCTGTATATCCGTGCAGCACACACCCCCTTTAACACAGCATACCTAGAACTTGCATCTTGGAATGGTGTTCTTCAAGCTAATTCAGAACTTCAACAAGGAAAAAAATATTTTACATTCAGTCAGTTTTTGAATTATCATGCAGTCATTCTGGGCACCTCTTTCCCCCTTCCCTTCCTTCCTGAATCCTTTATTACTCCTTTTTCATGCACCTCCATCCACCAGTCTTCTGTCACTAGGAAAATACAGCTAAATTTTCTCAGCCTATTTTAACACAGACAGAATCTAACTGGAAATGGACAGGAGCAGACATTTCAAAAGCTGCTCCTCAGTGCCACTGCATGGTCTTGAAATGGCCTAAGTCACACTATGTAAGGCTACTGTTATCTGAGATTGTTTAATACAGGAATGGTTAAGTAAAACTGGATTAACTTTGTAACTAGCTTAGCCCTTCAAACTCTTGAGTCATCTGAGGCCAGATTCCTTTCAAGAACAGAGAAGAGAGAAACTTGACAGTAATTTTAAACTGTTGACTTTGTTCTAAACCTCTCATTACAGCCATTGCATGTTATTGTTTTAAAAAAAACAACACCATAATTGAGTCTATTCCTGGCTCAACCACCAACTCAGCCTGACCTTGGGCAAGACACTTGGTTTCTTTGAGCTTCAGTTTGTGCAGCTGTAGAACTGAATAAAAAATTTAAACTTAACAAAGAACCAGAAGATGAGGTTTTCTGGGACACAAAATAAAGTGAACACTAAAATAGTTGCTTGAAAAAAAAAAAAAAGTAACCTCTACATCAGAGCTCTGAATTCCTAAGCCTATTAACAGTAGATTCAGGAGGATTCCTTAAATAAAATGTCATCTACACCAAACCCCAAGCACTCAGTAAGCCCTTAGATGCAGGCTAGCTCACTCATTTTGGTTACACTCTGATTAATTTCACATGGACCAGTTCCAACCACATATTACAAGTATTAAAGCTCATGGCTGCTGATGTGAAAAGGAACCAGGCAAACAGCAATTTATAGCTACAAAGTACTGGAGAGACTGATCGCTGCAGGCCCAGGCCAGCATCTGGAGCAATCCCTGGCTTTGACAAGATACTCCTAAAGGAACTCTAGGAATACCATTTGACCTCCTCCGTCTCTGTACCACAGCTTACCTTCTCTCAAGACTGTGACACATGAAAGGTACCCTAATTCACAGGAAGGTTATAAATCTACCTCTCCCAGTAATTTTGGCAAGTTTGCTAACTATGAATGAACAGGATGGTTACGGGTTCACCTGACATAATGGAAACATTAATACATGATTTAAAACTCCACCAGGCATCTGACTTTTCTTTCCAGGAACATTGTGAGAAAGGTAGCAGAAGGAAACCCTTAAAATAACAGTAAGTGTGTGAAAAGATATCAGCAGCATTAACACTTCCATAAAATGAACAACTTTAATACTAAAGAACAGATAAAAAATTACCAACTTAAGTGATTACTAAACTTTCTGAATTTAAACCATCAATCCTGAATTTGTCATAGCACATCACAATATCTGACCACAGGCCTTAGTACATTACTGTAAAGAGAAGACCATTTGATCTGCTGAATATCAACATTTCACACTTTATTCTCTACAAGACCACGAAACTTCTTGTGAAAACAAAACAGGCAAAAGACTATGGTTTAGGTGTTTTAGATACTACTTGGTGTGTTTTCTGCCCTGTTTGGCTTTAAGAGGCATTTTCTGAGTAGAGATACCTAGAAGGTGAATACAACTAACCTCCCATATACCACCAGAGAAGGCACCAAAGCACAAGCGTCCCCAAGTCCCTGCTCTGCTTTGTGTGGGCCATAGTGTGACGGATCTGCAGTGCAGCCTGCATGGACAATGCCACAAAATGACTCAGCAGTGAGTGCCAACATCATGAAATGAACATGATGCTGGCAGTAATGTACTGTACTGCACTGTACTGCTGCCCTGCCAGCACATCTGGCCTTGAGAAGAGGTGATGGCCAAGGATGTAACTGCTGCCCTGCAGACTAATGCCCTCCACAGAGCTCCCATCCATGCTGTCAAGCGCATTCACCTGCTCCTGGGAGCGCTGCAGCAGCGGCATGCCCAATGCCAAGGTGTCCACAGCCATGTTACTGAGAGGAAACTTTCCCAAACTTGTATCCCACACTGAGGATCATCAAGGAAGGTATCTGCCATTCAGAAAGGACCCGAGTACCCCTTCCCCACACCACAGCAATGCTAACAGCCGGGCAAGACGCCTTGACCCTGAGGTCACCCAGTCTTCACAGATCACCGAAAACCGGGATTTTTCTTAGCCTGAACCTAGCTGCCCACCCTCCATCCCACGGGCAGGCCCCACCATGCTCCTACCGAATTCACAGGCTCCCTTCTGGACCTGGGCGACAGCGGGCAGGCCGTGCTGCAGCGCCTTGCGGCTCACCGCCTTCAGCTGGCAGATGTTGTCGTAGGTCCGGCCGTCACTGCCGCACACCTGGGCGCTCAGCCTGCACTGGCAGACGCCCTTAGCGAAGCGCTTGCCCATGGGGTAGCGACAGTCAAGGCTGTCCCCGCAGGGCGGGTCCTCCTTGCGGCCGCACGAGTCCCCCTCGCCCGCGGCGCAGATGAGGCAGCAGCTGCAGCGGTCGGGGACGTATCCGCTGGGGCAGCTGGGGCTGGGGCACTTGGAGACATCGCAGCGGGTCGGGCACTTAGCTCGGGCGGCCGAGAGCTCCCCGGCGCCCGGGCTGCCGCTGAGTGAGAGCAGGAGCAACGGGCTCAGCAGCGACACCCGCATCCTCGGCGGGCTGCTGGCGGGGAGAGCGGCGGAGAAGGGGTGCGAGCCCGCCCGGCCCGAGGGGAGGAGGCGGGGAAGGTGCTATCACGGTGCAGCGAGGGAAGGGAAAGCCGGGTTTTATGCACACGCGGGCGGGAAAGTGTCTTCTGCCCCGAGCAGAGCTCCAGCAGGCGGAGTGGGAAAGAGCAGAGATGAAGGAAGGAGGCTTCAGTATAAAGCCGCAGAGTCGAGGCCAGCTCAGTCCGAGGCGCTGCTCCGCGGGACTAGCTCACAGGGGTAAGGCGCCGAGCCATGCCCGAGCTGCCGCGCAAAGTAAGCGCCGTCCCCGAGACGGCCGCGGAAAGCTGTGAGGACGGCGCCGAGGGGAGCGGCGGGGTTATATGCGGGACGTACCCGTGGCCGCCGCCGCCTCCAGCAGCAGCTACAGGAGCTCCGCGGCGGCAGCGACGGCCAGGCCCCACCCCGGCCGGGGAGGGACGGCTTCCCCGCGGGCGGGCTGCCGGGCCGGGGAGGGCCTGGCTCAGGGGAGCCCTCTGTCTGGACGGGGGGAGCGGGCGGAGCCGGGTGGGCAGGCTCACTACAGCTGGCAGAGCGTTACCCTCAGCTAGCTGGCAACGGGGCAGATGGTGCTCGTGTGGAGGTAAATCACAGCCCCGAGGGAAGAAGGGCTCGGGTGGAGCCCTGGTGCGAGGATCCACCCGCACCAGCAGCCCAGACGTGGGCTAAAAAGGACAAGCATATAAGTGTAAGGGACTGTATGTGACAAGGGCAGCTGTGACCCGTGTGAGTGTGGGGGGCAGAAAGCCGGCAGCCATTTTGTCTTCCCTCATGCTTGTCTTGAATGTTGTAGGCATTAAAGAAGATTCTTGTCACCACTGCCACCAAAGGGTAATGGAGGTCGAGCACCTGTGGTAGTATTAAACACAACAGCATCTGGCCATGAGTCCCTTTTTGCAGGGATTCATGAAGCAGAGACACATGAAACAGCTCCTTGTAGCCACTTTTCACACATGGCATCACGGAAAGTAATACAAGACACTTTTCAACTGTCAAAGCTGATCCACTTGTCTCCCTGCCATTATTACTTCAACATAAGAGTTGGTAGCTTTTGAGAAAAAGGAAGTATTTCCAAAGCCTTTATTCTTTAGGTTTTTTGGTTTTTTTTAATCTATTACTTAGCACATTCAGTAATTCTGTCAAGTGGAACAGTGTCTATCAAGCTCTGTTAACTAGTAACCTATGCAGTCTTCATAACATGCAGAGTAAACTTTGTGCATGCCATCTTTTAGCAGCAACATTTGTTCTGAGGTACTAACCAGTCATAACTTCCAAATGAATTAATTTAGCCATGGGTTGAGCTGTCTTGGAGAAAGGTTGACTTTATGAGAAAGACCTTTGACATAGCTCATTTGGAGCCTGTACCAAACTTGGCAAGTCTTATTTGCTGCTTATGACATGTCCGGCCTTGATTTCTCCCTGCAGTTCCTTCTTCATGCAACGGATAAAGCTAATGCAGTCATACAAAGTGCTGTGTCAAGCTGATGGGATCCCATGAACCAGGTTTAAGTAGGCATGAACCAGCTGCATCTGGCTGTGGGGTTGTAAGAAGGGAGAAATAAGAAATGCTGTCTTCATTATCTCTTGGATGCAGGAGGCGTCATCCAGAATCCCCTCTTACAGTTAGTGATTTGTTGTTCCCTCTGTTATAGGGGCAGAGTTGGTACAAGACTGGCTTCTCCAAACAGCTGCAGTTTAATTTATAGCAAAAAACCCCAAGAATATGTAATAGCTAAGGACACACATGTTCTGTGACAAGAAAATTACAAAATTTTGCTATAGAACACATCTTGCCACTTCTTGAAAAGGTAAGATTTATTAAATAGCTTTATTTATAGAGCAATATCTGAAAGATGAAAAATGTCAGTGTTTTAATATAAACTTGCCCTTTAAGGAAACAGGAGACTAATAAAAATTAAAAGGTCTAAAACATGGATCAGAAAGAAACAAGCTCCCTGTGTTGGTAACATGAATATTTTCATTATTTATGATGACAGTTACAGGGAAGAGGTTGGGGAAAATGTTTCAAGTTACAAATAGCAGTCTGTGAGTTACTGCTGTTAGACTACAGAATTTTTCATAGCTATATTGGTATCCATCTTAGCTCTTTCTGTACTCACACTTGGAGACATCAAGCGGGATATAGGAAAACAGGATGAATATGGACAGAGAAATACAGCAACCTTAACTGCAGAGTTTGTAGTTTAAGTTTGGTTTGTTAAGTTTGTAGTTAAGACTGATGAGTTTAAGGAGTTTCACAGAATCTTTCATAATTGGCTTATCAGTCTGCATCTCATTAATTTAGGGTAAAAAACAATCTGAAAGGTATTTTTTGCTGACTGTTGTCTCGTAGCCAAAATAAAACAGATGACATGATTTTTCTCAGATAAGCCTATGTATAGGACTGGGGTTTAATTATATTCTGATGGGTACTGATCAGTTTCCTGTTTATTATAAGAGATAAAATAAGAACTATAAGGGATACCTCAGTCTTTGCAACATTTTATTTCTTTCAAAAATCATTATTAAAGAAAAAAAAAAAAAAGAGTGATGCAGAGAGTAAGGCTAGGAAAAACATGAAAGTCACACCAAATGTCAGGTAATTGGGAATAGGGGGTAAGAAGTTTCATGAATCAGTGCTCCTTATTGAACATCTTTCACTGTGATTTGAATTAATTCAAAATTAAAATGTGGCACTAAAAGCTATTTAAATGATAACTCATTCAGTAATAGTTCTCCATCACTTGGAAAAATGACCGTTCATGGGTTCTGAATCACCTCTGTCTGGTGGAAATGATGCTTACTGCATAGTTGGAAGGGAGGCACCTCAAGACAAATCCAAAGCAAAGGAAATGTTACTGGTGACTCAGTGAGTATCTGTCTTCTCTCTTGAGGAACAAATTGTGGTTTTACACAAGTTCCAAACGACACTGAAGTATGTTGTTGCTGTGCCCTTAGGAGAGTATCAGGAGTTAGCTCCAAAACTCATCTACTGTATTCTAAGCCCTCTTCTCCCCTTTCTCACAACAAAGCCCGTGTTGGCTTCTTATGAAGTTAATTGTCCCATTGTCCCTGCTTGCTTGCATCTCGTGGGGTACATGCAGGGTAGGTTTATGGTCCCTGGTTATTCCTTCTTCTGCCTGGCTGCATATGTGTTGTTGGAACCGTGGACACTGGTCTGTACTGTGCTGTGTAGTCCACATAGCCATTACAGAGGAGTAGGGTGGCACATTTCACTACGTAGTGAAATGGTGGCTTAGTGCTACACTGGGGATATATATGATGCTGGTAAAAGAAATGTCATTTAAATATTACCTAAATCTAAATTTATGACCCTGAAACCATTAAAACACATACTTAATCACTTGAGTATAAGAACATTTTCCACTCTGTCATGTCCCAGTTGAAACTGGGTAATTAGGTATTAGTGATTTAAATCTCTGTGGTCTTGATTTAAATCACAAAGTATTCTAATTTGCACACTGTCCTAAATTCTATTATTCTAATTTATCTGTGTATTCATAAATCTTATAAGTTTCTTTGGAGTAAATTTATATGTGATGCAAATTTCTTATTATTGTTTCTTTAATATGGTTAAAGTTCAGAAGCTTTCACTTCTGATATAACCTCACAACACAAACTGTGTAAGTTAAAGACCACTCTGACCTTGCCATTGAGGTCTCTAAATTAGGAGCACGTGTTTAATATTCATCCTCAGTTCTTCGTAGGAGTTTTTTGAAAAGAAATCCAAAGCACACTTTAAACTGGAGAAATAAATACTGTTTATTTATCAGATTGCCTGTATCTCATTTCCTGAACTAAACAGTTAAAGTCTGTTTGCACTCTTGACACTGCAAGTCTCAAAAGCTGATCCAAGAGAACATCTGTCAGTTTGTTTTCAAGACTGGACACTGCAGAAGAAAAGAAGAAGTGAGGGACAAATAACAATTTCACAAACACGTAAGTTCAAACAAAGTGAGAACTTCCTCAGCTGCCTTCATAAGCCAGGCAAGCTGTGCTTCAGGAATATGCTTTTAAGGATATTTTCTTCCTTTTTTCCCCCATCCCTAACAGTAGTTGAAAGCAGGGGTCATTTTTCTTCTCTGTGTTCTGCTCAAACTGGTGCCAATAAATATTTTTTGAAGTATTAGGGAGTCCAAAAAATGTATTCAGGAAATACTCGCAAAGTATATTGAAAGCAAATTAAGAAAAAAAAAATCAAGAGTTTATTCTCCTCTAACATGACACACAGCTATTCTGAACTCATTGCACTCAGTGCAAGAGAAAAAGGTGGACTTTTGGCACAGAGACAGGATGATTTGAAGGAAATGCCACAGCCTGCTCTGTTCTTCACTCTGCTTTTAGCCAAAAGAACAGTTTGTGTTGGTATGCTTCAAGGGAGGAAATTCAGACCGTTAGTAACAGAACTGGTCATATGCTTTAAATTCTGTCACAGTCCTAACAGCCCTTTTTCTAGCTGCACAAGGGGGAATTCTATCTCAGATTTTAAATATAAGGTATGCAGTGAGAAGGTAAGTGTATATTTGAGTAGGTGTTTGGGAGCAACAGCCCCTGTCTGACATCCTCTTTTTATTAGAAAATACTGATTCGTAAAAATGAAAGGTATTCAGAGGAACAAAGCATGGCAACTTGTGTGTTTGGAAGAGCTGTTAGAGGTGTGAGGGTGTGTAAAAGGGTAGATTCTGTCAAAATGTGTGTTTGAAGAGGGAAGAATGGAGAATGAAAGAGGGAAAGACCCATTTGTTTATCCCCTCCACAAGATCCAAGAACCAGAGCTTTGTTTTGTTTTTCTGAGCTTTGGAAGACTCAGATTCAGTTCTCTGATCTTTCTAGTCAAGAGCAGGGACTTGACTTCGATGTTTTGGTGCTGTAGGTAGATATTCTATCTACTCTGGAAGATTCAGTTTTCTGATAAAAAAGAAGCCTTAGTTTTATGAGAATCAAAAAGACAAGAATTACCAAATCCATCATCATATGCAGATCTTCTGCTTTGCAGCTCACCCTTCTATAGGGGCTTCTGGAACATCCCATTAATAGGACATAGACTGTGTGAAAGGCCATTTGGCAAGAGGTACTGGGGCTGAAGCTGCAGAATGCAGCTAGCTGCTGAGAAGCAGTAGGTAAGACGAGGCAGACCTAAGGCTAAGCCACTGCTAAGCAGGATGACCAAGTTTGTAGTTCTCTAAAAGTACTGCTGTAATGTTCCTTACCTCCTGTTAGCTCTCCAAAGAAAGATACAACACCAACTGCTGTCAGTTCAGTATGTGTGTGGTTATCTGAAAGAAAGAGAAACTTATTTCAATTCAGACCACGCTTTTGTGGGTTCAGACATGCTGCCAGACCCACCGTATGTCTGCTTAAGCTCATAGATTTCTCTGTGTGATTCGAATTTGTGGAACAGTCATATGGAAATGATAGTGAGTCATAGAAACTCCTTATCCTTCTAATACATGGCCAAGTGAATAGGAGAAAAACACAAATGTAAATGGGATTTTGCTTTGCTCTGCTCTGCTCTCTGCTTTGAACAACTGCTTGGAATCTAAAACAACTTCATCCCAGCTGATGTGTCCCTGTGACTATACATACCCTGCAAGATCCTGGCACATGCAAAAGGAATACAGTGTGTTAAAGAGAAAAAAAATTGACAGGAATGAGTTAAAGGGAAAGAGTCACTTTTAGATGTTTTCTGCTTGGCTGAGCCCAATACATGTCACCTTAGAATGCTCTTAATGAACTGACGGAAGCAACCCAGAAGTGCAGTTCACAGTAGAGTGAAAATAAAGTTGGCTTACAAGCCTCCAGAAGACCATAAAGTAATACTTAACAGACATTATGACTAAGAATGCACTATGTCTCACAAACCTTAATTTCATCTATAGTAGAATAATAGGGATTGTAGACTTTTTGTAGATTGTAGTATATAAGCATATACTGCCATTACTAGTATTTTTTATACCATCTTTGATAATATTTTTCTAACCAAACAGTGAAGTGTTTCATTCAGACACTCAGGTCTGAGTGAAACTTCATGATGTATAACTTCTTGGAATCCTGCTGTCCAAAAAGTTGTGAGTTCTTCATAGTCTAACTGAAATTATGTCAGGGATTTCCGTAGGAACATATCTCGAGTTCAGCACTGTTCTTATTATAACTGCAGCTGGCTGTGAGGCAAAAGAATAGAAAAGAAATTCAAATAAAAAATTATTCAATTATTCTTTTTTAAATGGAGAACTATTTCCAGTACACAAGGTGTGATTCAATAAGGACAAGTGCAGAGCACTACACTTCAGCACAGTAACAGACAATCCAGTAATGAAAAAGGGCCTTTCTGGTTCAGTACAGTACCACATACAAGCTTTCAAGCTTTTATGAAAGACCAGCAGCCTATGCATTGAGTGTGAAAAAACACACTGAACCACCCAAATCTCTCCTTTGTTGTAATACGTATAACATTTGTATATCTCGCTAACCAAAAAAAAAACAAAACAAAAAAACTATAAAAAATCCCACCCCCCATATTTCCTCTTTCCTCATTGCTGGTAAGGTCTCTGTTGGAATTCTGTGCCTAGATTTGGATTTGCTGCTTCAAAATAGATGCGAATCAGTTGGAGAGAATCCACAAGAGTGCAAAAGCATTAGATGTTTAGAAATTTGCCTTAAAGCTAAGCTTTAAAGATCTGAAATTGTTTAGTCTAAAACAAAAGAAGACAGAAAAAGGACACTGTAAGAGCATTCAAGTATGTAAAAGGTTGCTGAAAGAAGAGGGTAACAAACTGTTCTCTTTGTTGCCTGGGGTAGATCAAGAAGAAAAAGACTCAAAATGATGCTAGGGAACTTCAGGACTGATACTACAAAGACCATTTTAAATACAAAGGGACTGATATTTTTAAATATACAGATAACAAAGGACTGGATCTGAGTTTTGTGGAGAGGATGTGGAATATTTGTTTTTTTTTAAGGCCTTCCTTACAAGGTAGCTTACATAGTTATTGTTCAAAAATTAGAAAGAACTGATTCTGCCTTGGGTAGGTAGGATCTTGAACTCTCTTCCTCCTTTTTTCTGCTTTTGTTACTGTAATGCAGACAGTCTGACTGATTAAAGGTTATGCAATCAGATAGCAGAAGTCCCAACATTAATTTAGGAAGCTCACTTAGAATTTCAAGAGAAAAGAAAGAGGTGGATTAGAATTAGGGATGAAGGATTTTGTTAAGACTATTGAAGACTAGTAAGTTTCAGTATTGTGATAAAACCACAAGGCAAAACTCAAATAGGAATACAGTGAGATTGAAAGTGAGAATGGTTGTACAGCTAGAGTTTGAGGTCAAGGGATGATCAGAGGATAAAGTGCTGAGGGTGA